CCGTGACAGGTAAACTAATCTAAAACGCCGGATGAGTGGATGCCCAGGTCTCGAAATCTACGAGTTCGAAGCTTAAGTCTCGACCAGTGATAAGTTTCAATCCACGTCAAGTGACTCGAGAGAGGTAGGCAGGATGATCAGCCTCCATAATAAAGGCATCACGAGGTTGGGTAGAAAAAAATATCACGGACCTAAAGAGGAGTCATGAATCTGACATCGAATATAAAAGAAGGGTCACTGGGGTATAAAAGAGTTCACACCATCTCTTCCTTGTGAGGTACCTTTTGTAGGATAAAATCGTGAGACCAAGAGAGCCAAAACGGATAAACCTCATAAGGGTGTGAATCGTGATAGGAAAGCTGATCTGAGACCTCGGATGAGTGAATGCTCGGATCCCGAAGCCGCGTGAGTTCAGAGCTTAACTCTTAACTCGTGACATGTGTATCAATGAAATCTGGTATGTCAATTTGGTTTTAAAGCAAAAATAAGTTAAACTTTCAAAGAAGTTTAAAAAAACCATTTTTTTCCCTCCTACACTTACTTCAAACATTATAACAAATCAAATCAACTAAAACCAAGGGAAAAGAAATACTCATTAAATTCATTTTAGGATCGAATCATCTTTTGCATGAGATATCCTCATTGCTTCACTTCATTCCTACAAAAATAAACTCAAACAAAAACATTAAAACATACATGTCCTAATAAAGATAAAGAAAACATAAACCATAAAAGTAAAATTTAAGTAACTTTTCAAACAAAGCTAGTTTTGGTCAAGCTTGACCATCCCTAAATCTAACAAAATCATCTTATCCTTTTAAGAGAAAGTGTGTTTTGTTACATCCTTCTTTACGGAATGACACAACCAAAAATAATCTTAGAAGGTGTACTAACTCTCCTAGTTGGAATAACATAAACAGAACTTGAGTTCATAATGGGTTTGGCATTACTAGAGCCAGGGGTTGCCAAGTGGTTTTGTAACAAGGGATTATGAGGTTTAGCAACTAAGTTAGAATCTTTAAGGCTTTCCTTTACCTTATTGCATTTACATCATCTTCATCTCTAAGGATACCATACCTTTGAGTCAAATTGTATTTTATTGTTTTTGAATCTGAGGGTAATGTTAGAGTTGTATACATCAATTAAGGCTTTGACAGTTAACAGAAAAGGTTTACCTAATAGTAATGGAGCTTTATCATCCTCTATGTCTAATACAGTAAAGTCTATATTGAATGCATACTTACTAACTTTTACAAGCATATTTTCCAACATCCCTTACGGTAGCATGGTAGAGTGGTCAATAAATTTCAGGTTGAATTTTACAAGCTTTAACTTTTTACACCCTAGCTACATAAAAACATTTAAAGGCATTAAGTTTATGTTAGACCTAAAATCATAATAAGTTTTATCAAAATTTAAATGTCTAACTCTATAAGAAATAGTAAAACTCCTTAGATCTTTTTATTTTTTTAGCAAGAGTTGTTGAAGTTTAGGGATATAATTTTCCACAAATGTGGCCTTCTTTAATTACTTAAGCAGCCCATTTAGAATAGGCCTTAAAATAAGTGGTGTTACGTTAAAACATTGTCTGTAAGTAGACATTCTTACGCTCATCCTTAGCCTTACTTAAGCTTCCTTTTGTATCTCCTTTTCTTGAACTACTTCCTCTTGATTTGACTCCTCTTAAACTACCTCATCAAGCTCAAGTTGAATGCTTTCTAGTAGTGCTCTTCCCATTTACAATAGCATCTGACCTTCTTCAACAAATCTTTCAACATATTCTTCAAAATTCTCTTCATAGTCCATCTCAACATTTTTTTTTTTAAGATCTTTTTCGTAAGGTTCAATATTTTTAGAGGCCTCTAGTGACATTGGGTCAAAACCCTTCAAAATTTTTCTTCCAAACCTTAATAGTTCCTCACCTTCCAATATATCCTCTTTTTTCATAAAATCTACCTCAAGTTATTTTAAAAAGCTAGGAAGGCTTACCACTATTGGTTCATTCATGATATCATCCTTTTTATCAAAGTCATCTATCCCAACATCTCCCAATGAACAGATAGTATTACAAGCTTTCTTGTCTTGTCTTTTAGGGTTGGACTCAATATTGCTGAGTAAGATACCTATAATGTGGTTGGCTATAGCTTGGGCTAGTTAATCTATCTGGTTTTCAATATTCTTGATTGATGCAGCTTGGTTTTGAGTATTGGCATTGTTGGCTTGCATCAATTAGGTTAACATATCCTTAAAACTTTTTTTTTTCTTGAGATTGATTGTAAGTTGATGGATTAAGGTGAAAGTTATTATTTTTGGTGTTGGTGGATTGGTGGTTAGGTTGATTCCAAGAAAATTTGGGGTGGTTTTACCATCCAAGGTTGTAGGTGTTGCTACATGGATTGTAGTTCAACTTGGATTGTTAGATAAATTGGACAAGTTTTATCCTAAACTGACATTTTTCGCTTGAATGAGGTCATTCACATATATTACATGAAACAAAGGGACTTTGGATTTCATTCACATGGTTGGTTTGGGATTGGGCACCTAAGGCTTTTTCTACATTTTTGGTTAAGGTGGTTAACTATAAATTTATTGAGGTAATTGCATCAATTTCAAATAAACCAGTAGATTTCTTATTTATATTTTTCTCCATGCTCCATTGATTGCTGTTAACGACCATTTCTTCAATTAGCTTATTGACCTTTTCAGCAGTCTTACTCATGATTACTCCTCTAGCAACTAAGTCCAAAATGGTTCTCATGGATGATGTAAGACCATTATAGAAAATCTGGATCTGAAACAATTAGGGTAATCCATAATATGGGCACTTCCTTTGCAACTCCTAACATCTTTCCCATGCATCATATAGTTTTTCACCTTCTATTTACATGAATGTGGTGATTTCATTTCTAAGTTTGGTTGTTTAGGCTTGTGGAAAGAATTTTGCCAAAAATTTCCATACCAAGTCATCCCATGTTGTGATAGAGCTAAGTGTTAGTGATGTTAACTAACTATTTTCCTTGTCTCTAAAAGAAAAAGGAAAAAATCGTAATCGAATAGCATCATAAAAAATACCATTATAATGAAAAGTATCACATAATTCAAGAACTTTTGAAAAATGAAGGTTAAGATCATCGTTAAATAGTCCTCCAAACTACATAGAAGTGTGGACTATTTGTATTATTGAAAACTTGATCTCAAAATTGTTTGCTCGAATGACTGGCCTTATAATGGATGGTTGAAATCCGAAAACCATTAGAATTGGGAACTGCATAATCCCTGAAAGTTTTTTAAGGTTTATTGTTTGCATTAGCCATTAATGTTGGTGCAAGTGGTGTTGATTGCTCTTTTCTTCTTTTTCTAAAAGTCCTTTCAAGCTCTTGATCAATTGGAGCTAAAACAACACTTATGGATTCATGCATGCAAGCAAGAAAATATAAAAAAAAAAAGATAAAAACAAATAAAAGTAAAAGAGTTTAGATTACAAAAGTTTAAGAAATACTTATTGATATTCAAAACAACACTTTAATTCCTAGCAATGACGTCTAAAACTTGATTGCTGCTTTTTGTATAGCCTATCAATACACAGATCAAGTAAAAAAATGAAAGTGTTCCAATATCATCTCCCAAAAGACTATAGATTGTAATTGTTATGTAATTCATAAGTACCAAAATTGAAATATTAAAATCTTATATCCAAACAAATGAAATTCAAGGTTGATTACAAAATAAAAAAATAGAAAAGTAATGTAAGCTTAAATCTCACTTATCCAACAGTCTCTTGGTAAGCTAAAGACAAAAGCCAAAACAAGATCTAAAAGGAAATAATGATTGCAAACTTGAAAATAATGAAAGCTTGAGATTGCCGAAAATAAAAGGCTAATGGGATCACAATTTCTAGCATGAAAAGCTTCTAAGAATATAAGTGTGGTCAAAACTAATCTTGCATAAAAGAAAATTTAAAAAGTAAAGGTTGTATGAAATTAAATAGATTAGGAGAAAAGAAAATGAATGCCAAAAACTTGTTAGTAGAAAATAACAAGAATTGAAACCAAAAGTAAGAAAATGAGATCTTGAAAAATGAACTTTTTGAATTAAAGAAAAAAATTTAAAGAAACAAACTTTTGTTATTGGTAAATTTGTCACTTAAGCTAAAAACTAAATTAAAGAAAAATTAAGAAAAGAAAAGGATAGAAGAGAGGAGAAGAATGGAACAATGAAACAAGTGAGAATGGCCTCTCTATTTATAGAATGGGTTCGACCATAGAGAAATAAAAATTATAAGAGTTTGATTTTAAATCAAATGCTAAGAGATAACAATAAATTTAGCCATTAGTAGGGTATAGAATAATGTCACTAAATATTTATTTTTTGTCACCATATATATTTCGTAACACAAGATTAAATGTCATGACATTTGTTAGCTTTGCACCGTCGCTAAATGTCGAATGTGATGATACCAAAATATCATCAACTATTGTGAAGCTAAAGTGACAATAAAATCAAATATCACCTTATGCTTTATTTTTTTGTAATGTTAGGTTTCGTTAGCTATATATGAAAAAAAAAATCATTAAATGCTATAATCATCAAAAAATAAATTATAAAAGCTTATATATTAGTGACAAATGGTAAATCATCATAATATTAGTGACACAATTAACGTAACCTATGATTGTAAGATAACGTCAAACGTGATAATAAATCAACCGCCAACTTATGCTTTTTTTTTTTTTTTTGTGATGTTAGGTTTCATCAGCTATATATGAAAAGAAACGATCATTAAATGCTATAATCATCACAAAATAAATGATAAAATCTAATATATCAATGAAGAAAGGTAAATCATCACAATAATAGTGACACAATTAACGTTACCTATATAAAATAAGTCATAAAAAATTCCATGTCACTAAATATACATAAAATGTTTAATTTAGGTGACGATATATTAAATATATGTCAATTAAATTCATCACTAATTACAAATTTATTTTCGTCACTAAAATAAATATCATTAGTTGAATATGACGATGCTATAATCGTCATGGAAAATATTTTTAAATGACAAATTAATCATTTTAATGTTGAAAAAAATTTCTTTTATAATGGTGACAAAATATTGAACGTCACAAATCCTAACTGTCATTTTTCTAGAATAATCTAATATAATTAATATTGTTTTTAGAAAATCTTGTATAAATAAGAAGAAATGATAAATTATCATCCACATATTTGCATTGATTTTAAATATAGTACATTCTTTAAAATCAATTCTAAAATTATATAGAAATAATATTGTCTAAAAAACGAAGAGTATTAAAACTATGAAATAGTTCGTGATCAAAAGCACATCTTTAATCTCTCGATACAATTCTTGTATCGAGGGTGATTGTGTTGATTGTGAGTTTGTATCACTTGAAACTGCAATAAATAATTAATAACAAATATTAAATGACAATAGAAACAATACGATCAAAACAAAACAAGACCATAGGATCCATCAGAATAAAGTATACAATAACTCACATTCCAATCAACTTACAAAAATATTAGAATCTAATAAACATAACAATTAACCCAGCATCGTCATTCTAGAACAAGCTTTACAATAAGTTGAAGTTAGTACTATGTTTTTCGTTAAACATAAAAAGAAATTATCTCAATTTTACTATGAATCTTTCACTTTCCTAATTATAAATCATCATTCTAGACACAAAGCACGTGAAACATTCATAATAATTCAATCTAAACCAAGCAACTATAATCCAATTAGTATAACTACATATATAATGTGCCCTAAACATTACATATTGAAATATTCCTATTCCCTAAACATGCACGTAAAAGGGATCAAGGTTCATTCAGTATATATATATGTATGCTCTAACAAAACCTAAGGCTAGTGCATCACATAGGGATTTTGTTAGCAGCTGACAAGAAATAATGCAACTCAAAACTATATTAAAATTCTTACTTGTTTTTGTTTTTGACAATCTTCAAGTGGTCCAAGCCAAAGATAGACTTTCTTTTTTATTCGCTGCTGCACATCAAAAGTAGAATTAGGGACTGTTTAGATTACTTCATAACCAAACCAAATAAAAAAACAGATTTGTAACAGATTCCAATATTGAAACAAATTTGTATTCAGTTCAACTGCTCAATTCTACTTAAACAAACCATGTCAGTTAGGTAACAAAATAATCCTAAATAAGACTCATCAAATCTGCATAATACCTTAAGACCCACTTTGTCTGGAAGAAAGAGATCAATATCTTAAAAAACTTCTCCTACAAATGAAAAGGAAAGATAATGACCATGCACGCTACTGCTTCAATCGTTTAATAATAACGAATAAAAATAGAATCATCCTTAAGCAATAGTTTCAATGTAGACATGAGTCAAAACAAAAATTATCTAAGGGTGTGTAAAAGGAAATGTTCGTAGCTCAAGTTGCACAACTAAGTAATTGTAGAATGTTTGTCCCTTTAAATAGGACAGCCTTTTCTGAATGTTTGTATATACATATAAACATACTATTTTCAACAAAATCATCAATAGTAAACTAGTCAAAGAACTCTATAAATGCCCCCTTTTTTTTCCACTATATCAGCAGACAGAAATGAGCCATCTTCTCACCTTCTTGTCCCTGTCATTTTAAGAACAATGAGACAAAAATCTAGTTAGTTTGGATTTATGGTCTTAAACAAACAATAAAGTGCCTGTCTTTATCATCTTCATATTTGCTTTTCCATGGAATATTATATGGAAGAGTTATTCCAAAGCAAAGCCGCAAATTTTGCTTGAAATTAATGCTTAAGACTTTGCTTCAATTATCCCATTTGCCAGCAAAATCAACGAACTTGACACCGTGTATATATAGGTTAATCCTATATGCAAATCATCTTCCTTGAACAAAATTACAAGCTCCAAGCTCTTACTATAGACTTAAATTTTCAACTTGAGTGAAACAATATAACAAAACCAGGAATTATTGGCTTCTGTCCATTGGTTATCCAATTACTTCATCCAGTTCTTACCCAATGAACTCAAGTTCATTTACCATTGGCCTGATGACTTTTCCATCCAAGCATCCTCTGAGGCCTTTCCAGTTTCCAAAAGTGTATGCCTATTTTTCTTCAACAAATCTTCAGCCTGGTAGATACAGGAAAAAAAATAAAATTTCTAGATGAATGAAAACGTGCAGAATAAACCCACAGTTTCAGGCTTTTTGCCCTATCATCACATGGATACTGGGCTACTATTCAAGTTGAATGGCCTCTTACAGCTTGTTTTGTTCCCTTTTGCATGTGTCACCGCTACTTCATTTCTTGGACACCAGCCTGATACTCATTCCCACTTTCATCAATCTATCAAAGCATTTGCAGTGTATATCTGAATTCCTTCGAGGCATAGACTCCTATATGCTCTTACAAAGGCTAACAACATCACTGCAGCCACCTTTTTTTGAAGGCCAATGCTAAAAACCATAAAAAAGACTGCTTTGTCTGACAGAATCTGATATATATTTCTTCTCTTTGCTTGATTATTACTTCAATCAACCAGCTAAAGTTCTCTTCAAAAAAAAAAATACTTTTGAAGCTCACCTCAGTGCTTGGATGATCCAATATTTCTAAACTTTTCAGATTCAATGCCTGCATAAGAACTGAAATCAAGTGACTGAGGAATCTTACGGCATTTTAAAACTACAAATATTTGCTAAGAATCAATGCTTAAGAATGCAAGAAAAAAAGGTTCTCCAAAAAAGTTCCCAAGGAATGGATTGATGATTTCGCACTAATCAAAATAAGATAATAATATAAGGCTGGATGTATGGGAAAGGGAAAGAAACCCAACCTCAAGTGCTTTGCATACTTTATCAACCTCAGGTGCATAGTTAATCTTCTGTGAAGTCATTATGAGTTCAAGTACACCAACACAGGACTGTCTAAAAGGTTCAAAGACTGGCAACGCCAAGGCTCCCTGGACATTGTAATGCAGAGCATGATCAAGCCGTGAATACTCTCTGCTGGAATAGTACTGTACATTTGAACTCCATTCTGGTAATTTCTTCCAGAAAACACGGCCAGGAAGTCCTAGCTGTTCACCACTCTCTCCATCCACAGAAAACATGTACATCAAAGAAACCATCCTATACTGATGTAGTCCATTGCAATGCGGATCAAGGACAAAGGGTTGCCTCGAAGTTGTTAACGACCCCCACTTTTTACGGGTGCCCAAACCTGAGCTAGAACATGTTGTTCAGTTGATTCTTTGAAGTAGCACAATGCCTGAGCCATCCTCTGTTTAATTACACAATAACTATCTGGGTTCTCAAGGGGCAGCAGTCCCAAAAATGGAGAAGGCAGTCCTCTATTATCATTGTCCTCCTTTGGATTTTCATTTACCGGATTGGAAGTACCTGCATATAGTACAATTTAAAATACAAATCAAGTCAGTTAAACAACAGATGCTCTACTCAATTACACAGGTATAGTTTCTAGTATGAGGATATAGACTAAGACCAGAAAATTATAAAAATTCAGGTGCTCCAAACCAACCAATTAAAACATAAAACACCCAAAAGGAAACAGCTAATTCAACTCAGAAAAACTTGACAAAAAAGCAACCCAAAGCTAACAAAAAAAAAAGCATATAAACAAATCAACGTAAAGGAAGAAATCACTTGCAAACTTATCAAGTTAAAAAGGAAAAAGATCGTAACCGGTGGGGGCCAGATGAGCCGGCACGAGCGGCGGCAGAATATTCCTGTCCCAATTATTGGGGCTTAGCTTATGGGGCAAAGCCCAAAACCAACGATTAACAAATATTTTTTTGGGTAAACCCTAAAATTAAACAAATAGTTTTTGGAGAGTGATTTTGGAATACAAATTTTGGATTGTTAGTCGATCAACGTCGGCCAAATTGCTTTTGGACACTTGCTTCTACTTGATTAACATTAGAGAGTGGCTTCTACTCAGTTAATCGATTTGGCAAAAAGCCAGAGAGGAGGGTAAAAGAGAATAGGAGGTGAGACGGTTTTGGCAAAATAACCCATGAGATTGTTATTATGGGTTTCGGAGGGAGTATGAAAAATATAATAAAAGCATATACCATTTTAAATGGTATAGTTTAGAAAAAACTTTAATTAAAATATTTTTATGGATATTAATAACAAATTAAATATATTTGTACCAAATAAAATTAAAAATGATAAATGTAGGTAATATATATATATATATATATATTATAAATTTATGAATCATTGAATCGTAAAGTAAGAGTATAAAAAATATAAAATAAAAATAATGTTAAATACTTGTTATATCACACTAATTTTTTTTGAAGAAATCATGACTGTAGATTTAATAAAAATGTTAGGAATGGATTGTCATTATAAAATTTTCTTTTTATTTAAGATTGTTAAGATTTGAATTTTAATTTTTAGAATTATGAGTTTATTTTTTTGTTATTATTTGATAAAATTTTAAACTTATCAAAAAAAATTTATCACAAATAAAATTTTAAATTTGTGACAAATTTAATACGTCACCTAAAATCCAAAACATCACAAAAAAATTTGTAATGTCATTTATAGTTAACTAATGTGTTAAATTTGTGATAAAAATTAATAACTTCACCTAAAATCTATTAAAAAAATTCGTTACAGATAAAATTTTAAATTGATGACAAATTTATAGTATCACTTAAAATCCAAAACGTCACAAAAAAATTTCTTGCAAAATAAATTTGATGATAAAAGTTTGTGACATTTATGTTATTGTCATATAACACCATATATTGATATGACAAAATTACAATGTCATTAATAGTTAACTAGAGTGTTTAGTTTATCATAAAAATTAATAATGTCACCTAAAATCTATTAAAAAATTCATTACAAATAACATTTTAAATTGGTAACAAAATTATATTGTCACCTAAAATTCAAAACGTCATAAAAAAATTTATCGCAACAAGATTTTAGTGATGTTATCATGTGAGGATTTTATATATCATTATATCATCATATCAAATATCCAAAAAAAATATAAAAGTGTGACGAAATATATTATTTGTCATCTTTTACATACTTTGCATGACGAAATATAATACGTCACTTATAAAAAGCATCACAAATTGTCAAATTTATTGTAGTGCTTATCTTCATCTTCAAAGTGCTTTGACTGAATGAAACTCTTGCTTCTTGAAAAGGTGTAGCTAAATGGGTGTCTTGGGAAGCAATCTTGACCATGTGATATTTGCTTGATATAATCTTGATGCAATTTCCTCATAGGTTTTGCTAAGGTAGGATTCAAGACAATGTAATTGATTCTTATCCAAACTCTTAGGATGTAGCTTGTAAATATTCAAAAAGATGAGCAAAAAAATCCATATCAAACACAAACACTTTTGGCCAAATAAGGTGAAGTCTATGGTAGCTTGAAAGTTTTCAATGCTAAGCAAAATAGTCATGATAAAATTCAAACTTTTTTTGGCCGCATGGGGAAAGTCCTTGTGCATTTAAATTTGCATGAAATCTTCTTAAAAAATAGATAGGGCCAAATGGTGTAGAAGTCCTTCATGGATGTAAATTCCTCTCTTGGCCATATAAACAAGTCTTAGTGCAAGTTAAAGTCTTCAATCTTGTTTTGGCTAAATAAAGGATGATTTGAGAGCCTATGTACATGTAAAATTCCTCTTTGATTGCATGGTTGAATGTCCTTGAACCAATGAGATTCAACTAACCCTTGATCTTGTATGGCTGAATATGCACCTTCATGCATGGATTAGATGCTTTCCTCATCCATATGCTTTAAACCCTAAAATAAAAAAATAGCATTAAAACACTAAATTTTGATAAAAATTTAAAGTTTAGCACCAATGTTTGCATATAAAAATACTACTTTTAGGTGTTATCAAATATTGCTAGTGTGTGCTAAAAGTGATGGTTTTAGGGTGGTTTAGGTGATAGTAGGGGTTGGCATGGGGTGGTCTTGATAGTGGATAGAATGAGAAACAAGGGTAGGTGAAATTTAGATACTGTTTGGTGGTTGTTTACTAGTGGCGAGTTGAGTTTATGGAGGCCAATGTTAAGATGAAGTTTGGAAGAAGGTGAGGCTGATAGTGGTAGTAAGAAATGATGGGCAAGGCTAGCAACTTCATTTTGTGTTAGGATTTTTCAAGAGGGTTCTATTTTTAGAAAGAGGCAGCAGTGGTGATAAGAAGGGTCTTAGTCTTGCGATCGACTGGTAGAGGGTTAGTGAAGGCCAAATCAATTTGGATTTTTGCTTTCTCCTATTGTGTGAACCCCTTTTTGCAAAATTCTTGGTTTCCTTATAGAATCAATCCTCTAATAAGATGAAAATCTCTAATTGGGAGTTGAGATTTTTTGGACTCTTGTTGTAGTAATGGATGCTGCAACTTTCATGTGGTGTAATGCTATATTTTGTGGTTACAGAGCTGGTTTGATTAGTTCATATTAAAAGGTTAGTAAGGTAAATTGGGAGGGAAAAAATGCAATGTTGGAAACGAGTAGCAATTCAGGGAAAGGAATGAAAAAAAAGCTACCATGGCAACTAACCCTATCTTTTTTTGCAAAATTTCTTTTTTTTTTAATTTTTTTGTTTTTTCTTTAATTAATTGGGCATTAAAATCGAATATCGGATTTCCAAATTATGGGCTTTAAAATTTGATCTTAGACTTAATCCAATTTTGAATTAACCCAAATTGAATTAGATTAGACCTTAACACATACAAAAAATAATTTAAAACAATAAAGCCCAAATAGCCCAATAAAATATATCCAATTAAAATGCTCAAAATATATTCAAATCGCAATGTCCAAATCAAGTTAAAAATTTAAACAAACCCAAATTGTTCCTAATAAAATTAGATGTCTACAATGTATGATTATAACTTTTTTTTCTCTCAAATGATCATATAGTTTGCAGTTTATGTCTTGAGGAATCTTTCCTTAATTAATCTTTAACTTATTATAGTTTGTTTGTAAGTAAACAATTAATTTATTTTTTATTATAATGTATCTTCTCGATTTAAGCTAATTATTTTGAGACTTGGACGTCTTCAAATGGACCAAACATCTTGCTATATCTTTGACCGAGCATATCTTGTAATTTTATTTGGTAGTGATTTTTAAGATTGTCCAAAGATATATGCAAATAAAATTAAGTGATTGTGTTCGTTGTATCATACATATATATTTATTATATAATATGTTTTGGCTCCCACTTCGTCAAGGTTTTTGTTTATATTTATAATTTTTTATAGAATTAATCTCAAAATATAATATATCTTAATATACATTTTTCACTTTATGATATAAAAATATAATAATTTTTAATGCTATCATTTTTTTTATAATAATGAATTTTGTTAAGTAGTTTTTAGCCTAATATTTTAAGTCATTATCAAGATAGATCATTGTTTAATTATGTGTGAATTATTATATAGAAATTTTTAACCTTAAAATCATTTTAAATGTCAAATTTGATGTGCTTTAAATTGAAATATAGTGGGCAAATTTTATTTATTTTATATATTGGAATGGAGCTAACCAAAAACAATTAAACGTGAGATAGAGATTAAAGAAATTGGGAAAGGAAAGAGAAAGAAACAAAGCAAAATTTTGACATAGACACATCATCACTAAAGCAGTGAAGAATACTTTTTCTTCATCATATTGTCATGATTGTGGGACCTATCTGATTTGTGCTTAACCACAACCCAAATTTTCAAATTTCTCTACCAAAAGGAACAGTCAACTAAAAATGATTTTTTTAGCCTTACCTAACATTCCTTTCATAATTTACCCCACTTTAACTTCGACCACTAAACCTCAAATCATAAGTAATTCTAACGTGAGGTGGCTGTAAATTGCATAAAAAAGACTAGTGGACTACTTTAATCTAATTGTATTGATTTAAATTTAGTTTTTTTAAATGTTTTCAATACATATTTTCCCACATGGATACAATCATTCAAAATTTTATTCATTAAATAATTTAATCAAACCTAATTTTATTCCAAACTAAAGGCACATAATTAGTAAACTAATTAAGGATCCATTTAAATGGATGAAGAGATTGGTTCCAATGAAATTAAAATTTATAGTAATGGTGAGATTAATTACTATAATTAAAAGATTTAGTATAATAACAATGAGATTAAGATCAATAGTAAAATAAACATTAGAATGTAAATACAACGTTATATTTTTAACATTTATGAGTTAATAGTTTATTGAAATTTACTGTAATTATTTTTATATCAAATAATAATTTTATAAAAAACTAATAATAATATATTTACAATTAAAAATATTAATTTAAAAGTATATTATATTACTAAATTATTTTTTATATACATTTTATTTTATTTTATAGTTTTAATGTATGAAAAAAAAAATTTTAATAGAAACATTAGCACATTTTTTTTTTGAAGTATTTGTGATATAAAGGTCAATAAATACAATGAAAAAATTGGACTAAAAATCAATTAATGGAAACATATTGTCTAATTTAGGATGAGATCAATTACCACATCTCTTCTCCTCATGTGAGAATTAGAAACCCTAGTGAGAAAATTTATTACAACTAGATTTGAACCTAACTACATCATGAAGTTATTTAATAAAAAATGACAAATATTTTATCATGAAATTCTACATTACTAAAGTAAGTGGATATAATAAAAAATAATAAAATGATTCATTAACAATCATAATCTATTGTGAATTAAAAATGTAACCATTCAAAATTTAAACAGTCCTTAAACTTTTATACAGATATTAGCATGTTGCTACTCATAATAATATTTAAATTCAAAAAGATATGAAGAATGCAATATTTTTGGAATATATATATGTGGATGTATATGCTTCAAAGAAAGAGTTGAACATGAATGCATACAAATTATTATTTTTATTGTAAATATTGCAAGCTATTGCCTTAATAGCAAGATTGTTAAATTAGGTCATGAAAAATCTAGAATAAATTCATCTTATTTAAAATACTAGTATGACCAATGA